AGTTATTTTACAATAGTTTTGAACATACATGCCACTAGTTGGATTTCAACTAGGCAATTATATCCAAAGAACATGTGTTACGTGTTTATCTCACTAGTATTGGACGAGATTAAGTCATGTTCTCGTCAGAACTTGTTTGAAACCATAAACGCAGTGTTCATTTTTTTTTTAAAACGTAGCTTATCCATACCGTATTCAGTGTTGTAAACAATATGCAGGTAATCACGCAGCCAGTTAGGTTTTTTTTGCAAAAACTCCTAGAGACTACCGTATCCACAACTGCACGTTTGTTAAAGCTTGTCATGATTATATAATCTGCTGTCTTTTTTAATTATTGCTCAAATATGTTTGTATCTAGCATACTATATGCATAAAACCACACAAAACATTTTTTTAATAATGCGAACCAAACTCTGTGATTACTCATCTTTAAACTAGTTAATTGATTGATTAAAACATAGACAATGAAATAATTTGCCCAATACTAATGGGATTGGTAAGCACGAGCTAGAATATAGACGACAATAGAAGTCATCAATTTGAGTTTTAAAAAATCGATAAATCATTGTATTTGTTTTATTTTAGACGCTGATCTAATAGAATCTATTTTTGTAAATGATGTATAGACCGATTGAGACGAAATGGAATTTTCTAGAGTTGTATTTTTAAAAATTAAACGCGAATTATTATAAGCAGAACATTGGTATAAACAGTTTGATTTATATTTTTGTTATTTTAAAGTCAACACATCTTTAAAATAATCATTAATATAAAGTTCCCTTTTCAAACCGGGCGGCACATGGGGCAAGTGAAGTAGAGTTCACCTGTTTCTGTGACCTCGGCTTATGAAACCGTTAGATTTTTTATAAATTTCTTCAATATTAAAGCCATACATCATTTTAAAAAATACTTTTAAATGAGTTCTTGTTCTTGCGTAAGTCTTGAAGCTCAGGTACAGAGAGTGTAATTCCCTGTGAGTGAGTTGATAGTTGGAGCTGTGAGCGCAGGTTATGCCAGATTTGTGTGAGTCTGGGTGTCAGTCTCTTCCCCCCTCCCCCCTCCACTGTTAGACTACCATGGGAACGGAAAATATTTCCCAACATACTCAACCGCTACATGCATTTTGTTTGTACACATACCGTCACACGTATACACATTCGCTGATACACACATGAACACATAGCTACCCACATACATTGACTGGTATACACATACCGTCACACATACACACCGTCACTGACACACACATGAATACATAACTACCCACATACTTTGACTGGCATACAGTCGTAAACTCTCACATACAAACATTAACCGTCACACACACAACATTAACCGTCACACACACACACAAACACAAAGCTACCCGCATATAATGACTGTACCACACATGCGCAGTCGTACACTCTCACACATACCCACCCAATCACACACATCTATACCACTTCACGCATACTCACGCAGACGCACACACACACATACCCCTCACCCCACACACACACTGCCACACACACACTCGTGGGGGGATGATTTATCAACACGCGCTCATCTGTCAACACTAATCACCTGTACCAAATGCTACACATCTAACGCTGTGCTCTGCTACACACTCGTGTGCTGTTTATGTAACACCAGTTGGAGCAACACACTTCTCATCATCACTGTCGTTTAAAATACACACCATTGCGTGTTGTGTTTTTCTACACACTAGTGTAGGCTCCACGTCTTGGTGATATGGAATACGTGTTCATATTTCTGAGTGTGTAAACTAGCGTCGACACGAGAGTGTGTTGTTTAAATAGTTTAGATGAATCTAGCACAACGAGTGAGTAGTAATCACAATTATATTATTATCAATGTAATAGTAGGCTGCTTTGTTTTCTTTAATTCAACTTTTAATCAGGGGTATAGCAATATGCAGAATAAAGCGTGCATTTATTATAACATCACACTATTTTGTTTACAAAACGGATTTCTTCGAATTACAATGCTAAATAACAGTTTTTAACCTAAATTTTCAAACATGCCTTTAAATATTATTTGAAATGAAAAAGTGTTTAAATGTTTTAGATAAATAAAAGCATATCGCGATATTAAAAAAAATGGTATGCATGTCAACTAATCAAGCTGTGTATCAATGATGTAAACGGCTAGAACTGTATTGAAATCTTCTGTGGTTTTTAATAGAGAATGCTAAATGTGTATAAAATATCAACAGAAAATAAACATACACAACAACATTACTTCTGCAATAACTCTTTGTTTAGCTTGGTGTTGAAGTATTTTTATTTTATACACAATTTACACTGTGAACACATGCAAACAATGGCATGTCCAAAACAAAAATACAATTTATTACAATCAACAAAAAGTGGTTGTATTTGTATTTGGGTTTTTTTTTTTTTTTTTTTTTTTTTTTTTTGTTTTTTTTTTTTTTTTAATATGCTTATTTTAAAGGAGCAGTCAAATTTAATCAATCTTTGATTCGTTTCTTCAACAGATCAAAGTTCAGGTCTGCGTCCAGTTTTTTAAAGTTGGTGAAATCGACACGCTCAAGGAACAGTACACAGCTGACGTCATCGTGCGAGCTAGGTGGAGGGAACCAAGTTTAGATGGACAACTGAGTGAGGTAAGTAAACAATGACGTAATTAGGTGGACAACTGAGTTCAGTAAACAATGACAGAATGACGTAATTAGGTGGACAACTGAGTGAGGTCAGTAAACAATGATGTAATTAGGGTGACTACATCGTAAGGTCAGTAAAAAATGACACAATGACGTAATAAGTGAACAACTGAGGTCAGTAATCAATGACGTCATTAGGTGGACAACTAAGGGAGGTCAGTAAACAATGACGTAATTAGGATGACATCTGAAGTAAGTAAACTGTGATGCAATTAGGTGGACAATTAACTGAGGTCAGTAGACAATGATTGGGGTACCTCTCTAGTGATGTAAGCTTAGATGTAAAGTCAGTAAATAATAAGCACGATTCTGGTGGATGTCTTGTCTTCCTCGGAACCCCTGAGGCTGACTCACCGACAGAGTTTCTTCCAGGCATCTCTTCGAGTGGCTCTGTCTCCCCCCCCCCCCCCCCCCCCCCCCACGAAGAAAGTCTTCCCCCCCCCTCCCCGAGCAAAATGGAATTTATATTGAAAATATATACATTTAACAGTTTCCGCCCCCCGAAGAAAGTCTTCCCCCCGCCCCCCGGAGAAAAGTCTGGAAGAACACTGCTTTCCGAACCCCTGGGGTTCGAACCCAGGTTAAGAACCACTTGTATAGAAATATTGGATAACACGTGAATGACATAAAAGCAATAAAACTTTCACTAAATAACGGCGACGTATAGACTGTGATCTACTTTACACATCTGTCCCTTCTCGTGTGTTCGACTTAAAAACGCAAACAGTAAAGAAACTACTGACGTATTCTAAAGTGAATACTCTCCAAACACATTTTGTATCTAATCGTTTGCCAACGAACCTATTTCACAGGTAAAAATATCTTTCTGGAGACATAAAAAAAAAACCTTGTGGGAATTTCCGTTCTTGTTAAAGTAAGCAGGAGAGATGGAGGGGGAAAGTATGCTTTGTTACATTGTTACATAATGCCAACTCATACTCGTTTTATCCTGATGTGATATTTGTCCTCATTTTTATAGTCAGATTTTATGTTTCGCTTTCTAAATTTAGATACACAACAGTGAGAAAAGTTATAAATTCGGAATATAGAGCGCGGATTTCTAGTTTGGCTCTACTTTAAATTTTAATTATTACAACCATTTACACAATAGTCTGATGTAAACATATATAAAATGAACTAGCGATTAGCCTACATTTGTGTTGTAGCCATTGGACAATGTGCACTCGAGTAAATTTGCCTACTTGCTGTACCGATCTAAAGAGCACTTTAACGTGTGCGGACAGTTGGTTTACGGGCAGGGTCGGTGCAGTGATTTATATCAAGTTCGGTTAACCAATGATAAATGGTAACGCGATTACCACCACATTAATGTTAAACACTGATAAATGATAACTTGATTACCATCACATTAATGTTATACACTGATAAATGATAACTTGATTACCATCACATTAATGTTAAACGCTGACAACTGGTAACGCCATTACCATCACACTTGGGTTAAACACTTATAAATGGTAACACGATTACCATCAAACTTCGGTTAAACGTGATTGACTGGTTACACAATAGTGACAAGTTCAACAACAATCAATACACAGTATGATAAATCATTGCGTTTACCATTAAAGTTAACTATAACAAGACATACTAGCCTAGCTTTATAATGGTAGTAGTAGCAGGCCTACATTCCATAAAATATCAATTTAACCATGCGTGATGATGATAAATGGAGACTATATTATATCTAGACTTTACCAGTTTAATTCTTGTGATCGGCAGTAATATTTACGGGACAGCGTGGCCTAACCGTAGAGCGCTAGGCCGATAATACGAAAGTCCAGCTCAGATGGGTACCTAACTCACATCAAGGAAAGTAAAGGCGGCTGGGCATAGTGCTGACCACATGTTCCCTTCATATGCTTAGGTCAAGAAATATTTGAACGCAATGGATCGCTAGTCAAAAGAGGAATATTTACTTTTTACTTTACAGTAAGACTAATAGGCTTTAGCAGACGTTTCAAAACATCACAGAAACAGATATACAGAAGCAGAATTTCCAACTCAATGGTAGAAACAAATATATAGAAGTAGACTTTTAAATTCATAATGGTAAAGACTGATATAAACAACGCCAAAAAAAGATCTAGATACACTCTCTCTTGCAATAGTAAAGCACAGCCTGTTATAAATATCATCATCAACAGTGGACTTAGTTATAACACAGACCTAACTAAAGTTCTCACGTTCCTTTCAAAGCACTTTGCCGAAAAAAATCAATGAAATAACAATCTAATCATTAGACTGGATCGAAGCTTAACATTATGCTTGGATGTTTTATCCTCGATCAAAACATAGTCGTAAAAACCATGCGTATTTTACTACATAAAAAGTCAAATTTGTTGATGAATGTTAGTTTATATGGGATTATGCAACTGTCTAAATCAGTGGTTCTAAACCTTTATTGAGGTACCAAACCCCATCTGTTTTTAATACGCATTAACGGAACCCTTCTTAACATTTCTATCGTCTGCACTGACTAATTCCGATCGTGAACAATGAGTCGAGTTTGTCTAGACATGCGCCGAACCCCTCAAATTGACTCAACGAACCCATGGGGTTTGAATGAACACAGGTTTAGAAACACTGATCTAATGTAGTGGTGGTAGTTAGTAAGAGAAGTTACAGACCTCATAGGGTGAAATACGTTTCTCTGAAATCAGTAGTATATCTATCTGCCTTTACTTTCCCCAACTCGAGTCAGGTACCCACTAGAGCTGTGTTGACTCAGCATAGACTTAAACTCAAGCCCAAAAAAATATTCTATACACTGAGTTCCGTACATTTATTTAAATCAGCAGTGAAGTGATCTACCCATAGACAATTCCGTACCTTTACCCATATCATACCAGCTGTAGGATGCTCTACCACTAGGCCATTCCGTACCTTTATCCATATCATACCAGCTTTAGTATGCTCTACCATTGGCTCGTACCTTTATCTAAATCATCATTAGGGGGCTCTATCATTAGACATTTATCCAAATCAGCAGTAGGGCGACCTACACTTAAACCATCTTGGACCTGTATCCAAATCATCAGGCCTTACTTGCTGAACATTGAATACATTGAGTCATAAAAAAATTTCAAACACACACAAAAAATCGGTTTCACCATAACATCCCGCTCCGTTCTCTCACACAATGCAAACACAGCCATTGTTTTACCACCGTTCTAATATTGATTCAAATCCACCTAGAAAAAACAGCGGGTTACTAATACCCTCTAGGCTAAAATTGATTTTACCTTGGGATAAAAAAAAAACCCACTGCTTTTGCCTCATAGATTTTCACTTTGAAATGCTAACTCGCTTTGAATAGACAATGCTTTATTTTTCGCTGCGTGTGTTTATTAATGCTTTATGCTTAGCCTACTCTATCACAAACCCTTACGTTTTTCAATAGAATAACTAGCCACAATGCTAAACCCGCATGTAGCGTAACGAAGCGGAATGAATTAGTGTTCGTGGAGATGGAAGATAATGCATTGTTTAGTAGCAAATACACGTAACAATAGGCTGGATAGACATACTCTACTTGAAAATGTTTGGCATATCGAATTGCAGCGTCATAGAGGCTAAGCAAGACGAAAACTAATGGGGAAAAAAACGCGATACCTGCTAGGCAGATAGCAATTACATTGAATTGAATAAGTATTAAGTTGTCAGGCCGGTAAAGCTTATGACTGCTAAACCGAGATCTCCCTAGTTTGATCATCTCGCCGGGCAAATGAGGATAGACAACTCCAAAATTAATTCAACTGTTGTCTTGTAGTTTGTTCGTGGTTAGACAAAGGCTATGGAATGGGTCGGCGTGGTCTAGTTGGTAAAGCTCAAGGTTGCTAAACCGAAAAGTCTCGAGTTCGAACCCTCGGGCAGATGAGGGTCGCTAATCAAACCGTAGTTTGCTGCCTTGTAGTTTGTTCTTGGTTGGGCAAAGACTATGGAAGCAAATCCAAAAAGAAAAGCAGGCTGAAATCGGAGTAAATCTGGTCTCAATGGCGCATAACCAGTTGACAAGTAATACTTAATTGTGTTGGAGGAAAGTGCGTCCAACATTACAATTAAGAACGAAGAAGAAGAAGAATTATAGCCATGTATTGGCCACTTGAAATACCCTTTTACCCCTTGTCTTTGAGTTGAAAAAGCTTGTATGTTCAAGCAGTGTTTCTTTCAGGCACCTGTCTGAAGGCACCGCCCTCCCCCTCCCCATTTTCCTGCCCCCCCCACCCCGAGTTTGAAAGTATTTTCAAGTACCCCCCCCCCCCACCACCCCCGCCAACACTGAAGAAAAATAGTCTGAAAGAAACACTGTGTTCATGGTTGGGGGTGGTGTGGCTGGGGGGTGGGTTGGTTTGGTTTGTTTGAGAATTGACCTTTGGCCTTGGCTGAATGTATTCATTTGGTAATGTTAGAAGTAATTTAGAGTAAGATGTTAGCCAAATAACATTAAACTTGTCAATTTAGACCTAAAAATATGTTTTCCTTAATAAAGTTTTGTGTGATGGAGTGGTCTAGCGGTAGAGAGCTGGACTGCTAACCCGCAAGTCTCGAGTTCGAATCCGGGTCAAAGTCAGTAGACCGACCCCAAGTCCACCCAACTCTGATGGGTACCTAACTCACATTAGGGTAAGAAAAGGCGGCTTGGCATAGTGCTGACCACACTACCCTTCTTCATATACCGAGGTCACAGAAGCAACTGAACTCTACTTCACTTGCCCTGTAGACCGTCAGGTTTAAAAGGGAACTTTACTTTTTTAATTAAGTTAAAACATGTTGCGACCGTTAATTTTTGTGTTACTCCTGTAGGGTGGAGACATCACAGACATCAGGAAGTACTGGAACCCCAAGCTATACATAGAGAACAGCTATGGTGACCACAAGGAGATGTTCCGCTACCGGGTGGTCTTCAACGACAAGGGCGAGGCCTACATGTCAGAGAAGCGAACGGTCAAGGGCACGTTCATGGAGAACCTGGAGCTTGACGATTTCCCGTTTGATGTCCAGGTGAGGCTGGGGGGAGTTAGAGGGGGAGGCCAGGGTTTCTTTCAGGCTGTTGAGTGGGTCGTGGGAGGGGGTATGTATGGGGGTCTGGGTAGTGGGGAGTTGGAGGGGGATGCCGGGGTATCTTTCAGGCAGTTGAGTGGGTCGTGGGAGGGGGTATGTATGGGGGTCGGGGGTAGTGGGGGAGCTGCAGGGGGGGGGGGCAGAGTTTCTTTCAGGCTGTTGACCAGGTGGGGGGGGATGTATGGGGGTCGGGGGTAATTGGGGTTGGGGATTTAATGATATTTTTAAAAATTTGAAACCGGAAGTTACAATTCAACACTCACCTCTGCTCCGAGCAAAATGCCTGAAAGTAGCCCTGAAGCTAAGCCCATTTAAACTATAGGATCTATCTCTCTATCTATCAATATATATATATATATATATATATATATATATATATATATATATATATATATATATATATATATATATATATATATATATATATATATGTGTGTGTGTGTGTGTGTGTGTGTGTGTATGTTTATTGAACCCCTTCTCCATCTTCTAATTATAAGCAAAAGTAGCAATGATATAAACAGTTGAATGGTTCCAGTAAAGCACGTATGTAGAACTTAACTCTCACAATTAATTAACTCTGTATGTTAAATCAGATATAAGGGATAAGACTAAATATTAATGGACCAATGATTAAAAAAATGTGGCGTTTCATACTATAGAGCAGGGGTCTCCAAACTACGGCCCGCCGGCCGGATGCGGCCCCGCGAGGTCCTTTCATCCGGCCCGCGTAGATCTTTTTGTCCACGGAAATAACGTTTGTTGGTAATGGCTGAGGAACTTTGCCCAGAAAATCAATGACAAGCCTGGAAGAAACTGGCCCCCGAACTGAAAATTTATAGTTAATGCGGCCCTCGGACTGAAAAGTTTGGAGACCCCTGCTATAGAGCTTGCGTTTCTGTAAACAAAAAGTTAACGAACCTACAATTCTCGAGAAATAACTCTTTTCAATCACACAATTAAATATTACGTGTTTCATTAAAATTCTAGTAACACTCATTCTTATTACAATAGGAATAATTTAGTTTATCTTGCATTGGGATTTTAAATTAATGCCTTCTTTAATTATTAAATTAAGACGAATTATTCTGGGTGTTTTTTTTTATTTTAATCGAAAATGTGCAGTAAGCTATAATCCAACTAGATTTATAAACCCTGTTGAAATTAACTCCCCTAATAACTTACTACTGTTCTACAACTGGGACCTTGTTTTAGCCCTGCTCACGTGACCGGAAATGATCGAACAGGTATTTCACATTATCCCAACATGGGAAGGGCGGGAAAACTACACGGGAACATCGTGTGCAGAAGTGAACAGGGGAATAACTGGAGCGTGGCTATCTGGGGATTGACAATTTGTAGTTCAGAACAGCCATTTTGTAGTTCAGAACAGTTATTTTGTAGTTCAGAACAGCCATTTTGTAGTTCAGAACAGCCATTTTGTAGTTTAGAACAGCCATTTTGTAGTTCAAAACAGCCATTTTGTAGTTCAGAACAGCCATTTTGTAGTTCAGAATAGCCATTTTGTAGTTCAGAACAGTTATTTTGTAGTTCAGAACAGCCATTTTGTAGTTCAGAACAGCCATTTGGTAGTTTAGAACAGACATTTTGTAGTTCAGAACAGCCATTTTGTTGTTCAGAACAGCCATTTTGTTGTTCAGAACAGCCATTTTGAAGATGAGAACAACAATTTTGTAGATGAGGACAGAAATTGTGTTGGTGTAGGTAGCCATTTTGAGAATGAGCATAGCCTGGAGGCGGAGTCTTCTTGAAGAACTGAAGCCAACAGAGTTGTCTTAGGAGATGGCAAAATTAATAGCCGGGGATCGGAAGAAATGGAAGGACATGTTGGAGGCCCTATGTTCCATAAGGAGCAAAGAGGACTAAGTCAAGTCAAGTCAATAGCTGTTATAAAGATTAGAATAATCAGGATAGTCATTGTGTACTGCTCACAATTAATGCTAACTGGTTTCTGCAACCAGGCGAAACATTGTCAGAACTTATAGCTAAAGTCTTGTACGAAGACTCAAAATGGAATACATTCACTCAAATCAATATGATCCGAATGATCAACGTACTAGCAAATCAAGTCAATATAATTCATAATCTGCACTAATTAATATCGTCAATGTTTCTGAAAAAAAATCTAAAATTAACTTTAAATAACCGGTAACTAAATGATAATTGGGGATGTAAAAAGCAAAACGCGGTAAAAAAAACCCCAATAACTAGAATTAGTTAAAGGTATGTGCCTTAACGTGGGTATGTTAAGCCATATATATATATATATATATATATATATAAATATATATATATATATATATATATATATATATATATATATATATATATATATATATATATATATATATGAGTGTGTGTCTACAAGTAACACCATGGCTATGTATGAAGATGCCAATGAATGAAACAACGCTGAACATGACATCTATGAGCGAAGTTTTATCTTTCTATCCGTGCCAAGACAAACGATACGTGTAACGTAAGGAATATGTTGCGATGTCTTACATATTGTGGCTTCCAATTACCAATGATGCGAGTGGCATGAGAAGTGACGTCACACGATCTACTAACCTTCCAGCACTGGTGCCGTTCTGAGCTTAAAAGCACAGGTGCAGTTCTGAGCTATACAGCACTGGTGCAGTTCTGAGCTATACAGCACTGGTGCAATTATGATATGCACAACACTGGTGCAGTTTTGAGCTATACACAGCACTGGTGCCGTTCTGAGCATAAAAGCACAGGTGCAGTTGTGAGCAATACAGCACAAGTGTAATTATGATATGCACAACACTGGTGCAGTTGTGTTCTGTATAGCACGGTAGGTTTTGGATGTCAATCCACTGATACTATTTGTACGGAGCGTGTTCAAGCAGAAACGTTTTCTGTCTTCATTTCTATTCTTCTGGTGGGATGTAGGCCTATTTCTAGTATGCAATACATAGCCCGTCCTAATTAAACAAATCAGTACGTGAACTTTTCCACTGGAAATTAATAAGAAGCTCAAAAAAATGTTTAGTTTCATAATTTATTGAGCCAAAAGATGAATCGTTAGGTAGTTCACATTACATATCCTATGTCTAAAGAAAATAGTCAATGAAACAGAATATAAAAATTAATATTATAATATTGATTTGACAATATATAAATCAGCATGCACCAAGTTTAAGTGATAATGGGTCCTTACGAGAGTTTTCAATATAAAACTTCGAAACTACATTATTTTTAAATAGCCATAAGCAGTGCAGTATGTAATAGACGTTGTCATGATAGGGTTAAAATGCATTATATATGTACATATATTATATATATATATATATATATATATATATATATATATATATATATATATATATATACGAATATACAGTTATCTAGTGTAAGTATTTAATTAGACACGAACCCCCTAACAACCTCTATGGCTACTTCGCCTGTCAAATATAGTCAATTTCAATAGGTTCTCATGAAACTTATAAGAAAGTATTTGAGATCTGTCTAATAGAAAAGCTGCTTAAAAAATTCAATTTTCTTGAGCATCCAGCGGGCAAATCAATGTTCTCATAAATATTCATACGCCATCGATTTCGTATAGAATTCCAACAGCGAATGTCAATACCCAGCAGTAGTGTAAAACGTTCTAATTTTAAAGTGGCCGATGCCATGATAGACGGTTATTGTTCAGATTTCTGCACGGTTGAGTGACGTTCTCAATCACGTGTCTCGTGCGTGTGACGGGTCATCTTGCAGGATTGGTAGAACAATATTTGACCTGAAGTATTGACTTAGATAACATGTCGGACTTGAGTATCGAAAATACAGGATACAAATCAAGCAGACACAAATATATATATATATATATAGTCTTTAGCTAGTTCATTTTTCCCTAAGGTCGCTGTCTAAATATGACAAATGCCCAAATGTACGTTTTTCCGAAAGCCCCACGCAAATTTTAGCAAAGACACACTCAAGGCACACAATGTTACCGAAATAATTAATGAAACCAGTGAAAGGTGAAATGTTATAACTAGATATTATCCCAAACTATAAGAAAAACGGATCTTTACCTCAACTTTAACATGTTAAGTAGTAAACTACTTATGTTAATAACTTACGGACATGTGCTATTTTTTTTTATTGAAAGACTGCAATATAACGTTTTCCATTAGTTGTTGTTTACTGTAGTTCTACATAACTATAGCTTATCTCAGTGTTGTTATTTTTAAAACTGTATCACTGCCTTGAAGCCTAGCTTACATTGTTTTTATATTATAGGATGACATAACATCACCGGTATCTTAAATGTGGGTTTATATTACAGGACGTCATACCATCATCTTTATCTTAAATGTGGAGTTATATTACAGGACCACATGCCATCACCTTTATCTTAAATGTGGGGTTATATTACAGGATCACATACCATCACCTGTATCTTAAATGTGGAGTTATATTACAGGACCACATACTATCACCTGTATCTTAAATGTGGAGTTATATTACAGGACCACATACTATCTCCTGTATCTTAAATGTGGAGTTATATTACAGGACCACAAAACTACACCGAAACGTATGTGTATATGGTACCCCAAACTTAACTACATGTATTACGGTTCCATTGCAGGACTTGACAGTGACCGTGGCCTCTGAATTCCCCTACACAGAGGTCGAGGTCGTGGAGGACTTTGAGAACCACCACATGGTCAACAAGCAGTCGTTCGTGGACGAGCAGGAGTGGCACCTGTACTCACACACAGAGTGCATCCAGAGGGAGCTGACCATTGACCAATTCGACCCCAGCGTTCGTCGCTCGGCTGTTTCCGTCAAATGTCGGGCGGCCCGAAGACCGGGGTATTTTGTATGGAACATCTTCATGATCACGGCAAGTCCTGCTACTCTCTACTTTGTTAAAATTAATTTCTGTGTTTTGTTACATTAAAGCAGGGGTCTCCAAACTTTTCAGCCCGGGGGCCGTATTAACTATGAAATATCAGTTCGGGGGCCAGAGTTTCTTTAAGGCATCTCTTCGGGGAGGCGGCGCTCCCCCCTCCCGAAGAACGTCTACCGCCCCCCCCCCTCCCCACGAAATATAATTTATATAGATATATTTACACATTTCAAGTGTCAGCCCCCTACCCCCCCCCACCCCACCCCCACGGGGGAAAAGTCTGGAAGAAACGCTTTCGGGGGTCGATAACACACTCGAGGTCCAAGTTTGCTCTACAATTGTTCTTCGCGTATTTCATTCATGAAAATGTTTGTTCACATAGGTATGTTGTTTCAAAATTTGAAAGGTACTTTGATGCAGAACTTTTAATATTAGGAAAGTCTTCCTTGTGCAAAAACTTATGAATATTAATCTGCCCCTCTTTGAACGTGTCTCTTTTAATTCAATGACCTCCAGCTGCAGTTCATCTTTGCAACTGGCCACATTTGCTTCAAATGGGCTTTGAAGCAGTCTCACTTCTTCGGCCTTTGAATCTAAGTCAGATAACCTACTGAAACTGCAGCTGGAGGTCTTTGATGATCATATGTAAATGACGTGGGAAATTCATTGGTTGCTTCAGCCGTAAAGAACTTGCACTGCTGAAAGTGCGTCAAGTTGTTGGCCTGTACTTGTTCCATATACATGACAAGTTTGAATCTGAAGGCCTTTAGGTGGGTGTATAGATAAGAAACTAGATTTCCCTCTCTTGCCGTTTTAAGTTCAGAAAATTTAAATGTCTAGTTATGTCTGCAGCAGAGGCCAATTTCTATACCCACTCTAATGAACACAAGAAGTTGAGGTGGAACAACTGTCCAGCGACGCATCCATTGCTATTGAAAAATGGCGAAGCTTGCTTGCATATTTCTCTATTTGAGTCACAAAGTTTTCACCAATCTCTGCAACACGGCGAGCAATGGTATTTGCACCCAAAGCTACATTTTCAAATAGTTTTGAATTTTCTGTGCAAAGTTCCTTAGCCACCTTTAACAACATTTATTCAATGGACAAAAAGATCGTCGCGGGCCGGATGAAATGACCTCGCGGGCCGCATCCGGCCCGCGGGCCGTAGTTTGGAGACCCCTGCATTAAAGAAATCCTCTTGCACATTGTTGTTTGTTACAGCAAAATTTCTCTTTATTCACATTTCAAAGCCAATATCCCTAATCTTTTGTGAGTAAAATACTCCAAACTTCTTCAGCAATCTGCTAACTTTTTTTCAAGTTAAGATTATCTTTAAGTCACTAGTATATGTTTTTTACTGATGTCCCAAAAAAATTAGCCTACGTTTTAATTATGGAACGGCGTGGCCTAGATTCAGAGCGCCAAAATGCTAATCCGAAAATCGCGATTTCAAATCCGGGTTCAAATCAGTAGAAAGTCTCTGTGTCTAATTCCCTGTGTTGGGTACCTGATTCACATGCCCTATTGACAGCCAGGTTTGAAATTGTATAAATAGGCAAAAAATAAGTAAAGACTTATGTTTGCCTATTTATAAATACCTTGAGCTATAAAGGCTATTTGTAAAATTGTATTTATTCTAAACATTAAACAAAACAAAACAAAAGCGTAATTAAACCAATGTCTTGAATTTGATAAAACTGAACGTGTCTTTAATTCTGTAAAGGACAATACATTTTCTTACGTTGTTTAATACACGTCAGAGACTATCTAAGAATATCTTATTTGCATCTCGACTATAACACAAGCTTAACATAACTGTTATTTGATTCTAGTTTAGGAAACATCAAAAAACTTGATTAACTGCTTAAAACTATGACTAAAAAAATATTATTTTTAAAAATGTCAACAAGACTTGACCAATTAAAGTAAGCGACATTACATTCATGTTATAATTCTTAAATTAGCCCACAAATGAGAGTATGAACATAAATCACCAATGCCACAATGTTATCGATTGGCCTGTTCCAAAAAAAAAAACACATTCACTCCTAAAACCTGTTAACCGATTTCTGATCGAACTGCTGTAATGTAAAGCCGGTAATCTGTTTGCCAATAATCCTTGTTATCAATCCATTATGGGACATTTTGTGATTTGAATATTCGAATAAAGTATATCGTCACGATATTTACCTTCTTTTCTGTTTACCCACTTCCCCTTTAGCAAGCAGTAAATTAAATTAAACACAATTTGGCTAAAGCTAATTGGATCAAACAAGAGTTATAGATTACGAAAAATTAAACTCATTATTAGCGCGCTAATTGTTTTAAATTGGTTTTCCAATTAGTGGATATTTACTTGGCAAAGTGACAGCAAAAGGCAGATAATGAATTACGACTTACAATATTAGAGCATATTTCCCCCAATAGCTGATTAAAATAAAAATAACTAAAATGCCATTTTTTTCTTTTTAGTTGCTCTAATATTTTAGTTATTTTTAATAAATCATCTGATAATGAATTGCTACTGTTCTTGAATTGTTTTTTTTTCTCGCACAAATTCTAGTTTGGCATTACTGTATTTAAACATGAAAAAGCTACATTATTATAATTAAATATATTGATTAAACTATGACATTTTTTAAAGCGCTAGAGAAAAACCACACGCCAGTTTTAACGATCTTTTCAAAACATTTAGATGTCATTAGGGGTTTTTAATTATGTTTCTCTACATCTTTTATTTTCTGTTAGGACATTCATTAACTCTTAATCCGCTCTTTTCCACGGAAAACACATTCAATATAGATCTATGTCGTCTTTCCACTGTCATTTTCTACATTTTCCGTGGAAATACCTTTACATTCAATATATTTTATCTTTCCACAATTTCTTTTTTAATTGTACACATTCTCCGTAGAAATGCCCTAACATTCAATATATTGTATCTTTCCACAGTTTCTTATTTGTACACTTTCATTCGCTACATTCTCCGTGGAAATACTTTTACATTCAATATATTTTATCTTTCCACAATTTTTTTTTAATTGTACACATTCTTCGTAGAAATGCCCTAACATTCAATATATTTTATCTTTCCATAGTTTCTTATTTGTACACTTTCATTCGCTACATTCTCCGAGGAAATACCTTTACATTCAATATATTTTATCTTTCCACAATTTTTTTTTAATTGTACACATTCTCCGTAGAAATGCCCTAACATTCAATATATTGTATCTTTCCACAGTTTCTTATTTGTACACTTTCATTCGCTACATTCTCCGTGGAAATACCTTTACATTCAATATATTTTATCTTTCCACAATTTTTTTTTTAATTGTACACATTCTCCGTAGAAATGCCCTAACATTCAATATATTTTATCTTTCCACAGTTTCTTATTTGTACACTTTCATTCGCTACATTCTCCGTTGAGAAGGACCTCCCACAGAACAGACTACAACTGTCCTTCACCCTCGTCCTGACCGCCGTAGCTTTCAAATCAGTTGTCAATCAAAGTTTGCCTCGAATCTCCTACTTAACGTATATGGTAAGTTGAACTGATGTATTTACAATACGATTCTGCAGCTTCGAACAGAAACGTTTAAAGATAAAATTACAAGCCTACGCTTTTCTAAGGAGAAACCCATTTTAATAGAGAAAACTACTTCAAAAATCTAAGGACTGATTTAATTAATAATTAAGCAGTCGTCTTACATGACGTTTCCTGTTTTAACCCCCGCATCCCTTCACAAGAACACAGAATGGGGGAAAACACAGTCAAATACTCCCTTCTTCCTAAAAAAAAATAACTATAGATGTAAAGTAATTTAATTTAAATGTAAACGATGAGTTTACAGTATTTTATTAACTTATCAGGCCAATACTTTCAGGATAATTTGCTAATTTGTTTTATTAGACCCATTACCTTATCTATGTGTGTATTTTCAAGATCAGCTGATACAGGCCAATACTCTGTTTAATTTAACGAAAACATAATAAAGCGTATTTCCCCACAGGACAAGTATTTACTCGCCTCAATGTTTATGATGTCCGCTATCTGCACTTGGCATGCCGTCGTGACGATCCTGATCCACAAGAAGGCGGACGCAGACTTTGTTGAGTACATCGTGCTCGGCTGTTTGGCCTCCATTTACGTCATATACAACGTGGCATTCTGCGTCATGATTTATGCATTTGTAAGTCTTTTAATCGATGTTGAAGTTTGATGATATTTTATTAGAATTTGGCATTTGTGTAATCTATCAAATTTAGGTAGAGTCTAGGTAAAATCGCCCGCGACTAGTAATGTGAAAAACAGGTGACTCCTTAAATTTTAATAATTATTTCACATTTTGAGGAGGATTTATGTTTTGAAAGGTAATCTATCGTTTTAGGTACGTAAAATCGCCCTCGGCTAGTAATATACGAAAAAGTAACCTCATTGTCAAGGCTTTAATAGAAGAATATTGTGATATATTTGTGTCAAATATTATAGATAAATGAATAATAAACCTAAATCAATGACTAAATATATCAATATAGGCAAGAAATTAACTTTAAACAGCAGTGTTAGCGAGCAGTATTTGCTATATAAAAAGCTGCCATCTGTAAGATAGAGTGGCTTCCCCTGAATCTTGCGCTATAAGTTTACAAAAAAAATAATAAAATAAACAAGATGGCTGTTATAGTAAATGACCATGGTTGTATCTGTTGGAAACATTGCTAGTCTTCATTTATTACTGAAAAGTCTTAATTCAATTGTTTAATAACAGGTACATAAATGAAACAAGGAAACATTGTTGTATTTTTCAAAACATAAATCCTCATAATGTGAAATAGGCCTAATTATTAAAATTTAAGGAGTCACCTGTTTTTCACTTTACTAGTCGCGGGCGATTTTACGTACCTAAAACGATAGATTACCTAGTATTTAATTTAATACTATTGATATTGACTATTGAGTTAAACTTAATAAATATAATAATAATAGTATAGAATCTATAGATCATAATAGGTCTAATAGATCTAGATCTAGATCTCTAGGCCTAACTAAGCCAATTCATTTAAGATCTAGATATTTAGCTATTTTTGTCTTAAAACGTTGATACATTAATAAAAGCAATGCTTTTTTTTTTAATTTTATAAAAAAAAAATTCAAGACTCTTAGTTATTAGTTAACTATGAAGATTTATTTGAGGTCTAATATTCAAGATAAAAAATGCCAGGAAATAGGAGAATCTAGCCTAGATTTGTAAAAAGAACATGTCTGTTATTTCATTCAAATTTTGTATTCAATATTTTCTTTTTATGTAAACGATTATTTATTTATCTACTTACAGCCATGTAAAAAAAGAAGAATTATGGCACAGAAAGATGTGGAACACAACAAAGTAAGTAAAATATTCCCAAATTTACAAAAAAATTAAGATAATTAATTTTCTGGAAGACTTTGTGAAAATAAAAATCATATTTATTTTTATAAAATAGAAAATAATATAGTTCTAGAAATATAGATTATAGTTTCAAACCATTTTATTTTTAACCTACTAAAGTCAGTTCAAGTGATTAACTTAATAAAAAAGAAAACTAACACTAGTAGATAGATACCAATGCACTCCAAGAGCCAGAATAATAAATAAAACTAGATACAATAATGAGTGCATGGAATGATATGTGTGTTTATGTTTTTAATGTGTTTGTTTTCGTTCCGTTGCCATTGACGGCCATTACTGTTTTCCCAGAATCCAAAAGACATTTGTGTTCGTCTGTGATTGGCATGTAAAGTGAGTACTTGCCATGCAAGGAAAACATATACAATGTATTCCCATTTATGTATCCAACATTATCTGGCGAAAGTCAAGCTTTTTAAAGTAGTCTTGTTCAAAGCAAATCAAGTCTTAAAATATGTATCAAACATTATTAGGCCTACATTATCAACTGTATCAATCTACAACTATAAAAAGTTAATGCCATTAACCTATGCATGACTGGAACAGTATACAAATACCATGAAGTGCTTTTGTTTTTTAAATTTTCTTTTCATAATTATATCGGTGGCGGTAGTTCACTAAATCATTCGCTTTCTGCTTTTACAATTATGGTATTAAGCCAGACTTAGATGGGTATTAACTTCATACTTTAAATTAACAGGTGCTTATTATTACTTATTCAAACATAACAGTGTTGTTAGCATTATTCAAACGTTAAAATGAAAGGTTTCATCATTAAAAAAAATATTTCATGAGCTAGATCTACATGTTTTGATTTTTTTCCAAAACCAAAGTTTTTTTTTTTAAATTGACACACACTGAAAATACTTTTTTATAGCATAATTTGAACAATAACATCATAATATAAGAACTAGCTATACATAGCAATAACCTGTGAAATCAAGAACATATAGGCCTATTTATGTTTTTTTCAAATCTTTAAAAAAAAACAAAAACATGACAGGCATCTGGTACCTTTCAATAGTAAACTGGCAGCATCATTGAGTCAGTAAAATGATATCTATTCTCTGTAATATAATATATCCTTCTCTGTATTTAATAAATAAAATGTGCTTTTTGGGACACATTTTTCATACTGTTGAACAGATGAATATTTGTAAACAACTAGAAATGATATCCAGATAAGCAATCTAAATAGTTTATTGTTTCACGTGATAAAAGTAATTCTGTTTGCTTTCTTTGAAAGCTTATCATAAAGTCGACATGCTCTAAACATGGGAATTGTGTTTTTATCATTGATTATTAAAACAGTCATTTTATAAAATTAGCAATTATTCTCTAATGTAACACCTTATGTGACAACTTAATTGTGGAATGTATACAATTTGTTTTTAAAAACAAAGCACTGTATTTATTTAAAAAATTGTAGGGCGTATAGAATGTAGAATATTATTTTATATATACTTAATGTATGTTATTTAAAGAAGACAGATTAGAGATTAAACATATCTACTTGCATTTTTTAGAACTTTGATCTAGCATTTTTGGCTAATAGTTTGCCAACATATAACAATAGTAACATGAATGTAGTCAAGCTAGTTAAGTCTAGAATTATTAATCTTAAAAGAATACAGTGAGATGGTATACTATATATATACTGCTTAATAATAATTTAATATAAAGTTAAGATCCAAATATCTTTAGGATGGACATCATAAATATGTTTAAACCTACTTATTTTTCTTAGCTAAAAGTAGCTCCTGAATTAAAACTTAATTTACAATACAGATAAAATTCACTGAAAATATTTCTGCCTACTATTACTGAACAAATTTTTTTTTAAAACTTGTTAACTGTCTTATACATTTTATACCCTACTACCTAATAAGATAGAATGATTCAGACTGGGTCTAGATACATTTCATAATCAATTGTAGACTTGCACTTTATATTTACATTTTAATTTACAGTAAATGCATCACTGATATTTTAGCAGTTTTTTATTAGTTTTTTAAGAAAAAAAGACTATTCAATGAAGAATTAAACTAAAGTTGATCTAAATTCTAATTTAATACTATCAATCTAAAAGCATTTATTCTGAGGTGACAAATTAATTCTTTTGATAAAGTAATTCACAATGATTTTCATTTGACATTTAAATACAATTTATAAAAGGCTAATTATTGTTATGACGCTAAAAATAATTTTTCTTTAAAATAGGCATATGGCTTTTGAATTGAGTAAGTAATTTGAAACCCTTAGAAATGTTCGTGTATTCTTTTGCAAACCCACCAACCAACCAGAAATTTCACAACATTGCATGTATTATTTAAAAATATAAACCAAATCCTTTATTCTTAACCTTAACTTAAAACATTTACCAAAGCCTAATAATTAAATAAAGCATCTCCCATCTAAAAGTAACACCATGCAGCCAAAACTAAATTCTAATTTAAGTTAATTTTAGTCATTACTATAAGTTCATCATAATAAATTTATAATTATCATAGGACTTATCAGAACAACAATTCAACTTAAATGCATAAAAAATCTATTTAATATTATGTTTATTCATTCACATTCACAGCCTAAAATATCACTTCACTCTTTTTATCACTGCTACACTATTTTTATCAAATAACACATGTAAAGTTTGTAGTTAATACTGTACAAGAAATTTAAATTTAAAGATTTAAAATATTGAACTTAAGATTGTAATATGGTTATATTTTTTTATCACATAACAGAGTAAATTAGGCTCTGTACATTATAATTTTGTTTAATATTTTTTTTATTTCAGTTGGTTTTAAAATCTGTTTTACCCTAAAAAAACCGTTCATGTATTTATTTTCAAGTAGTAAGGGAAGCGTAGGGAAGATTCGGCCCCCTGTGTCTGTCGCATTCCAGTAATGTCCCTCTGTCTTGTCATATGCCAACTCGCATCCGTCTTGTTCCATGCGAGATGTCAGTTGAAAAAATTGTTTCCGCTTTACTTTCACTTCCATACTAATTTTCAGCTCCGCCGGGAGCATACCCCATCGCAGCCAGCTTTGCGCAGAATGTTAACTCTAACCAAAACCATCTCTGCTGACTTGCCGGGTCTCATTAACAGCTGAGGTAATTGTCTGAGAAAAGTATACCCAAAAAAAAAATAAAACAAGACAGATTGAGCAGCTACTGGATTCCTCCCGAATTTATTTTGTAATAACCAACAGCCTTTTCCCCAACAGAGCCTCACCTTTTACAGTGAACCTTCTAACAACTGAAGTCATTTGGTCTGTAGTTTCACCTCAGTGTCATTCCACTCTTCTAATTTTGTATTTTTTTTGTTTTCAGTTTATTTCAGTTTTGGTAAAGAAATAGAATAGGAACCTGCATGTTGTTTTTATTTTTTTATTATTTTAAAACACTAATAAAAAAAATTTTAAGCGATTTTTAATGTAAGCTTTACATATTAATGTATCTGTTATTATAAAACAGCACTATTATACAGTTTAACATTGTTCTAAAATACTTTTTATCTGCAATTTCTTTTTAGATTGATGACCGGGCAAGGCTTGAGAAAAATCAAAACCACGCGAGACCTAAAAACTCGTACTGATCAGCGCAGATCTGCTCACTTCCTGTCACATGACTCACAGAATCAAATACATCACGTAATGAACAAGTTGATGTTATGTGACCTCTGCCTTTATCCCCCGTACTCTGAGCACATCATATCCTAGAAAATCTAACCATGATCTGGCCTCATACTCTGCATTATGAATCTAGGCAACGCACATCAGCTAATAAGTAATCTATACTATGTATGATAACTTTATAAATCAACACATAGACTATGCAAAAGTAAAAAAAAAATAGGGATTAATAACATAGGATTTCAGAAAATATTTAAACATTTATGCAAATTAGTTATTGCCAGTGTAAAAGTGTTAAAAATAAATTAACATTGTTTTTTTCAATTATGAATAACAAAAATGATGTACTCTTTAATTTTTTAAAAACTAGATAATATTCAGAAATAAGATTTAAGTCTACTTATTTTGTAGATAATGGTTGAAATGTTGCTGTAGGGCTAATGAATCAGTATCTAAATAAATTTAAGTAAAGTAACATCATTCTTCTGATTGCTCTCGTATTAAGTAACTCGATGTTTTTTTTCTTAAAACAATACAGCGTAAATATGTAGCTTTACGAGAAAAAACAAAATATTAGTACACCATTTCCACCTTAAACAAATGAAAGGATTGAGGGAATCTGAGGACTCATTTTCCTGCACTGCTTTCTGCATCAGACGTCATCAATTCTCAATGTGCCTTCCACTCTGTTCTATGCATTATCACTTGACCTAGGGAAGTAGTCCAAAATATTCTGTCGCAAGCTTCTTTAGAAAAAAAATGCTAACAAATTTTAACTTGAACTGTTTTCTTTAAAGAACAGATAAATTTAATACTATAACAATTTGTTTAGAAATAAGAAAATTAATTTTGAAGCATTAAAAAAAATTGTATTTTTATCAAAAGTGAATACCAGTAGATAGTTGAAGTTACTGTATAATTATAGACTGCCCGTAATCTGTTGCGTACTTTTCATAGCTTCTAGCAAGTGATCATGTTTTTTTCTCTGTTGTTTCTTTCCGTATTTTCTCTAATTATGTATTTAAGATTCTCATGTTTTAATAGAAGATATTTTTAAAAAAACAAAGTGGTTTCTTTACAGTGGCCTTTCTTAGCATTCTTAGTTTTATGATCCACTGTATAAAACCTTATACCAATTTATTTCATTAATGCTGTTATGATTACATACATCTTTACAGCTTTGTGTGTTATTTATTAATTTATTTTGTACTGTTAGACAATAGCGTTCACTATTAATGTTTACATTTTTTATGAAAAACTTAACGTTTTTAATAAAAAAAAGAATAAAGTTTTCTTTATTCAAAGACAGATTCTACAAAATTATTTCAAAATTTTACTGGTGTATTTTAAATATAAATGTTGTTTGCTAGACTAGTTGTTGCCTAAAATATCTACACAGATTAAAAATAATTTATTGATTTACTGTATTTAGAACTATTTTCACAAAGTCTACAATCCTTTGATTTGTCTATCAATATTTAAAATTGTTTATGTGACTGATTTATTCTTATTAAAATGTAAAATGTATCTATTGTTTGCTTTGTAAATTAACTGTTACTTTTATAAAAATATATAGTTAAAGTGTCTATCCCCTATTTGCCTGTTAGCACTTAAAATTTATTTCTATAGCCAAGATTGTGCTTTGAAACATTACTCTTAAACTCCTTTCTGAAATGTATTGTTCATTCACAAACTGTTTTCTCAGGTATCTTGTTATGATAATTGTCATGTTATCAATTATATACTGTACTTTCATCTTATGGTTCCACTCCATTTCATTATCTGGGATATTTAAATGGATGTAAACTGTGGGTAGTATAATAATTTGGCTAACATTCAAATTGTTACAGTAACTAAATAAACATTGAAATAAGTAAGATTAGCAGCAAATATAAAATGCATCTGAAGGCCCAATAAACTTTTATATATGGCCTCATTATGCAAAACTAAGTTCTTTATCATACATATAATATATATCATTGTTTGTAGAAAATTATTTTAAAATATTTTAAAGTAATTTTCACCCCATACTACCCAATACTTTCATGTTCATGATGTCAAATATGCATTAACGGACAAAGAGACATGCATTTTAAACAAGCATTGACATTACTGTTGTTAACTCTCCTGTGTTCAGAGGCAGTGTGATTTAATGTTGTTTCTGATTGGGCCTATATTTGTTATCGCAAAAAAAATCTCCAGTTGCCCCCTATTTGTTTGTTTATTTCTTCGTAGTGGAAAAAATGAGTTAATTTATACCAAACTATGCTTGTGTATGTTGATAAACCCACAATCAAGTATTGTGTAGGTATTTTTCTCATTATTATTTAAGTTTTTTTTTATAAATAGAGAACTTTAAATAAAAAGAAAAAAACCAGAAAGAAAGTTTTTTTTTCTCTTAAGCACATTGAAATGCATCTACTTTTTGTTTAAAGAATATATATTTTTATTATTACTGTTAGTTTTCTCTATACCTTAAGAATTGTTTGTCTCTAATGTTTTTAACAATGCTTATACATTTGGTGTTTTTAGTAACTGAAATTTGTATTAAATTTAGAAACAGAAAATTAAAATTTACATTTATTAGATATACACAGTTAAATATTGTCATATTTTTATATAGCTATTTCAACTTTCTTAATATAGTTTGGTTATGTATATAATAAAATGTTCCATTTGTAGGCCTGTTTTTGGCCCACAGATTTATTACATAAAACTATTCAAAAGAACTTGAACACACCCATTAAAGTCTGAACACTCTGTACAACACATCTAAAAGAAACCTTAAGGACAATGATACTGTTTATTTAAATACCTGTACAGTGGCTTTGTTGAAATTTTTTTGTTACATTATTATGCCTTGGACTTGTAAAATCTTAAGCCTAAACAGCTACAATGTGACCATATCATTATGCACAATGTTTATCTAGCAATTTTTAGTGCTCTAACTGTTATACATATCTTGTATATCCTACATGTGGGTCACGTATTGGGGTCATCTCTATAAATAGATGAACACTACTAAGGTGTTGCACAGAAAACTAAAGATTGCATATATATTTAATATAGATCTGGGAGATATATATATATATATATATATATATATATATATATATATATATATATATATATATATATATGCTAATAATTTTTTGTAGGTTTTACACAGAACTATTATGTACTATGTCCTGGCACATTAAGATTAAATTATTTTAGTTAAGTACCAAATCCTGACTTCAGTTGTACCATTAATAATGGGAGGGAGTGGTCTAGCGGTAGAGAGCTGGAATGCTAATCCATAAGTCTCGAGTTCGAATCTGGGGTCAAGTCAGTAGACCGTCCCTGAGTTCACCCAACTTTGATGGGTATCTAACTGACGTTAGAGAAAGTAAAGGCGGCTGGGCATAGTGCTGACCACACAATCTCTTCATTTGCAGAGGTCACAGAAACAAGTGAACTCTACTTCACTTGCCCGATAGACCGTCTGGTTTGAAAGGGAAACTTTACTGTTTTACTTTAACATTTAAATTATATTTGTGCAACAAAGATTTCATCTGTAGTGATGTTTAGATTTAAAAGAAAATATTTTTTCAGACTGAAAAAGATGTATCTGTTTTAAAGAGTTTATTCATGTTATTTTTTTACTTTAGTAGATAGATACACATTCCTCTCACTGTAATCCTGTTTATCCATCTGTAGCAAGTTTTAAATTTGTTAGGTTGGTGTGACACTAATAAATACAATATTTAATACATTTTTTTAAAGATTTTAAAACAATTTATTTGGAGTTATCTCCCTTGAATATAATTGTAAATTAAAAAAAAATTAAATAATTTTTATTTTATTTAAATCATAAATACTTAGAAAATGTGACCTTACACACTTTTGTGTTGAACTCTCATCAAACCCCACCCCTCACAATTACAGCACACTGAATGGTGTACATATAGTTACTTGTAACAGATAAATAATATGTATGCATTTAATGGTTGTTTTTTTTTCAATATTGTTCATATACTACATAATTAGAAAATTATTTATACATAACTCTTATCTTCATTGCAAAAAAAATAGAATTATGTACTATTTGTCTATTTTATTTTTATTATTATTTATATTCAGAAAAAAAAAATTGTACAATACTTATATTTAATGATGTCTTTTTACAATGAGAACCAGTCTAGGCATAACCAATGCCCCAGATAAAAACTACAGTGTTTGTCTGACAACTATTGATCAATGTGTTTCTATGTACAGCTGTGTCCTTGTCTGGGCTTTACATTTCCTACTCTTTCAATGACACAACTCTGTTTTATATTTGTCAAGTTACTGAACAATGTCATTGAAATAAAAACATTTCCTACCCTTTCAATGACACAACTCTGTTTTATATTTGTCAAGTTACTGGACAATGTCAATGAAATAAAATCATTTCCTACCCTTTCAATGACACAACTCTGTTTTATATTTGTCAAGTTACTGAACAATGTCATTGAAATAAAAACATTTCCTACCCTTTCAATGACACAACTCTGTTTTATATTTGTCAAGTTACTGGACAATGTCAATGAAATAAAATCATTTCCTACCCTTTCAATGACACAACTCTGTTTTATATTTGTCAAGTTACTGAACAATGTCATTGAAATAAAAACATTTCCTACCCTTTCAATGACACAACTCTGTTTTATATTTGTCAAGTTACTGAACAATGTCATTGAAATAAAAACATTTCCTACCCTTTCAATGACACAACTCTGTTTTATATTTGTCAAGTTACTGAACAATGTCATTGAAATAAAAACATTTCCTACCCTTTCAATGACACAACTCTGTTTTATATTTGTCAAGTTACTGAACAATGTCATTGAAATAAAAACATTTCCTACCCTTTCAATGACACAACTCTGTTTTATATTTGTCAAGTTACTGAACAATGTCATTGAAATAAAAACATTTCCTACCCTTTCAATGACACAACTCTGTTTTATATTTGTCAAGTTACTGGACAATGTCAATGAAATAAAATCATTTCCTACTCTATCAATGACACATCTCTGTTTTATATTTGTCAAGTTACCGAACAATGTCATTGAAATAAAAACACAACTTTGACTTTTTTCCGATTGTCGACTTTTTTTTTTTTTTTTCAAACCCTCTGGCAGATAAGGCTAGATCCCTCCCAACACTAAAATTTAAGAACGAAGAAGAAGAAGAAGAATTTTGTTTTTAAAGGAGGTGTCATTTAATAGCTCTAGTGATTAAAATCGCTTCAGCGGAGTAAAACTAGGATAAACTGGATTAATTGTTCTACTAAAGAATATTTAACTCTTATCTCGAATTCATGGGATTGTGTCAGGTTCACCAACCAAAATATTTTATACAACTTTATACTAAATTTATACTAATTTATACACACATTTCCTAGACCACCACACATCATATTAATCACACTTCAAATAACCTGTTTTAGAAATTAAATAGTAGATCACTTGTACTATACTACTACTACTGTAATATTGAATATAAATAATAATTTCCTCATAATGGGTTTTAAGAAAAAATGTTTAACTTATACTGTAATTCACCTGACAATGGTTGCCTAAAACCCATATATATATATATATATATATATATAACATTGCTATTAGTAAAATAATGCCGATACCATCAAGTTTGATGGGGATACATTGAAATTTTGATCCATAATTACCAAAAATAATGGTTTGTCCCACTTTTCACCACTCTCCCCTATATATATATATATATATATATATATATATATATATATATATATATATATAATTTATTTATAAGATAGATAAATGAAACAACAAATTACAAATAGGTCTATATGTGTATGTTTGTGTAAAAAAAATGTGATCCTTTTGATTTGACACAATCATGCGCAGCTACTAGTTATGCTATATTATCTCAATGTAATGTATGTCTCAGTGACATCCAGTGTTAGATACTTCATAGAACTCATCGTTAGTAAAGCAGAAATTCAATATCAATTGTTTAACTGTTATATCTGAGGTTATGCTCCGTTGATTTGTGCTATAACAGTGGAACGAAATTACACAATATAACAGCATGTATGTAGAGAAGGGTGAGCGTGGCAGTGGAGTGTGAGGGGTGGCGTAGCAAGGTCGGGTGTCACCCGGTGCGGTCCGCACTCCCCGCCCGCCCCCCCCCCTCGCTACGCCGCTGGTGTGAGGGAGCACTGTTGTGTAGGAGGACTGCTGTGTAGAGACATGAATGATGGAGTCTTGTTGTGAGGGGGGAGTAAGATATGTTATTGTGAGTGCTTTGTGAGGTGCATGAGAGGGAGTGATGTAGTGTGAGTAGAGTGAAGGAGTGCTGTTATAAGGTTCACGTGTGGGAAAGTAACGGAGTGCTACTGTGTGTGTGTGTAAGGGAGTGTTGTTGTAATGTGGGAGTGAGGAGGAGGGATGTGCTGAGGGATCATTGAGGTAGGGGTTGCCATTTCGATGTGCACTAATGTATGTGAACACTAGATCAAATGCACACATAATTTTATACCGCTATAAATTTGAAAAAAAAAAGAAAAATAAACACAGCTAGCACACTTGCCGAGCAATAATCTACCCGCATTAACATCCATTGCATATCCTCCTACTCTTTTCTTTTTCATGAAGCTCTAAACCACTATTAATCTGAAGGATTAAGTTTCGAAGAATTTACATGCAGAGACTTTATGCTTGAAAAGGTGGGATTAAGAGTTTTCGTTTGGAAACTTTGTCCACGTCTATCTTGGGATACACAGTCCATGATATAATTGAATGTATAGGATTATCCTTTTATCCCACACAGTGTTTGACGAAGTCAGCAGGGAAGTAATCCCTGCACCTGTGGCCACCAACCTAGGGGCCAGAGTTGCTTATGGTGTCAGGTTCAGATCTGGTGAACGTGGGGCAGTGTTTCTTCCAGATTGTTTTTCTCCGGGGGTGGACTTGATATCAGTAGCGTAGCGAGGGGGGGGGGGGGCGCGGGGGACATATGTTCCCGGGCGCCGACCTTAGGGGGCGCCAAAATGGGTTGGAAAAATAAATTGAAAGGTTGAGGGGGGTGCAAACGGAAAGTTTGAGGGGGCGGGGGGGGGGGGGGTGCAAATCGAAAGTTTGAGGGGGGGTGCAAGTCGAAATCTTGAGGGGGGCGGTGCAAATCGAAAAGTTTGTCCCCGGGGGGGGGGGGGCGGAAAACATTTTCTGGGGGGGGGGGGGGGGCGGACACTGTTAAAAGTATGGTTTCTATATAAATTCTATTTCGTTCGATGGGGTAGACTTTCTTGGGGGGGGGGGGTGGGGGGGGGGCG